CTGGACTCTCTTAACAAGAATTTGTGTGTGTGTTTTAAGTGCAACTTGTATTACTTCACATTTACACAATTCTTCCATGCTTCATTTTTTCTAATATTATCTCTACATATACTTGTTCTCCAGAGACATTATAATAATCAGTTTTCTCAGCTACATCTAGATAAGATGATCACCTAGCATTACAATTACTATTTAGAGCTGTAGTCTGTTATTAAGGAATTCAGATTCTGATGTTATTATTCATATTCATATTCTTCTGATCTAGGCATGGGATACAGGTTACACAGGATTAGAATAAATTATGTTATTAAAAAGAAGATCCATGTGTTGCTAAACCACATGTATTATGAATATCCCCACTCTCATATTAGGAATCTCTGTATTTCTCCCATCAGTAATTATGAACTTAGGGGAGTGGTATAGAGACTGATAATGTGACTCATTTTTAAACATTTGACATTTATTCCTTTAAAAATTAATAATATAATTACATGAAAATAAATTTATCTCTCTGCACCCTCCCTTTACCACACAGCGCAGCTAATAATATAACAACTGAAAATGAGATAGAACTGAATTTTTGCTCAAAATCTCCCTCCCATCTTATTCATGGAGTCCAGAAAAAATTTCATATATATGAATATGTCTTTCTTTTTCCCATTAAACACAACTATCACTGTTCGATTCTATAGTTATCTGGAATCATAATACTTGCATTTTGTTATTAACATTTTGAATAACAGAAACCGGCTTAAAAACACTGAGTATGACTTGACTTTTCCTTTGTCCGTTAAGATACTGCAATACAAATTTTCCATAATGACTATAAACCAAACCTTTGAATATCACCTAGACAATGAACAATCATACTCTTCTTTCAGACTTCTAATAGAACAAGTCTAACTGCTACAATCCAGGACCCAACAAGGTCTTTATATTAAAAGGAGTTATTACCCCCATTCAAAGAGGCATAATAAATGTGATTTCTTATTACTATCATTTTTAAAATAGTAGAAAGCATCTGAATTGCCAAGTTGCCAAAGGAACTGGTAGTTGAGCAACCATGCTATATATTCCAGTGGGTACCCCTAAATCTGCAATCCTGATTCTGAGCTCTTAATTCTAGAAATTTTAAGTTATGTTCTTGACCATTTATCAAGTACTTTTCATGAAGTTTCCTGAATCTGAAGCAGACTAAATGTTTTTAGAGACCTGATTTCAGCCTAAGTGTAATCAGATCATGTGATTCAGAATGGTAAAAGTTTCAGCTTGTTCTACAGGAGATATACTTTTTTTCCCCAAAGGAGGCTATTTTGGAAGTTATCTCTGTAGTGATTCTGGTGTATTCTTCAGTCTTCTGTATCTCCCTAAGGCAAAGATAAAGAAGTCAGAACAATTATTGTTATTCTTACGCACCATCAAGCTGTCTCCAACTTACAGTGACCTTAATAAGGTTTTCCAATATGGGAAGTGTTGAAAGAGTATCTTACCAGGGCCACACCACCACTGAATTTCCATGGCCATGCACCTTGGATTCTTTTTAAGGAGAGAACTGGGATAATAACATTTTAAATAAATTAAATTATTAGTTAATTAATTAGTGGGAATCTGAACCCAGGTCTTCTGAGTCCTAGTCTAATACTCTAGCAAGTGCACTGTGCTAGAATATTAGAGATTATAATATTTCCTTGTTGATTTCTTTGTGTGTTCATTTTAACCACATGGATTACTTTGTGATTGCTTAGAGCTCTTATAAAGGAATTGCCCTGTACAGCCAATGCAGGGCACTGTTGGCGATGTATGAAATTTGTGAGTTTGGTTGTGTGAATCCATATATCCGAGGCAGCCCTTGGTAGTATAACAGTTGTTACTAGATTTAGGAAGATATTTACAGAAAGGTTTATCCTCACACAAGGCAGTTCTCTCACTACCAAATATATATATTAATGGGGTAATATATTTATTGAATCACTAGGTTATAAATAAGACAAGCTTTCGAGTTCTACAGAACTCTTCATGAGGTGAAGATGGGGTTAAGGGCAAATGGTTCAAAAATTGGGCAAGATGCGATGACCTTGGCTCCTCAAGGTCAAGACAGTCAAGAAAGCAGAATGGAGTTTAGATTTCACATGAGGCAGAGGTGACAAAAGATATCAATTGGTATTTCCTCCTTGCTCTGCAGATAAAAGGATGAGTTGCGTCCCCCTCCTCTCCAACTGCCACCTCCTTTAGGACTTCAGGCATAGAAGCCATCCGGGTTTCTTAGAGGTGTCTATTGTCTGCAGTGAGATCTTTGGGAAGATAAATTCACCACTTCAGTGGCTTCTGTTGTGAAATTTATTCCATTAATCAAAGGACCTCTCAGACAATCACTTGAAGCTCCAAGGGAAGGCGAGGCTCACAAAATTCGACACAAGTTGAGCAAAGCCATAGTAATCTAATCAACTGCCTGGCTTCATCCAGTAGTCCTATTACAGAACATAATTATAAAATTTCTCATCTACAGAAGTTCCAACATTTAGCATTTTATACAGTACTTTTGAACTTGCAGGGACCTTCACACATACTCTCTTAGAATAATTGTGTGAAGCAGCTCACTGTCGTTATCTCCATATTGCAAATGGCGTGCATGTGGGGAAGATGAGAGAGCAAAAGTAGTCTCCCACATTCAAGAATGAAGAAAAATTTAAATTGGCACTTTCTGCCTGATAGCTTAAACTCTTGCCCATTCTATTTAGACAAATTCTTCTCATATAATAAGGTCAAAGAAATAAGCACTTGACTACACCTGCTTATACACATCTAAGTTAAGCCCTTTGTGTCAAGGGAGTGGGGGAAGGGACCCCAAATACTTGGAAAATATTCTGTCCTAGTGGAGACAACCAGGTGAGTAGCTGTTTATATTAATGATCTAGAACTTTCTGTGCATTTCCCCAAGAGTTCCACAAGCATATCTGTAAAACAAGATAGTGAGCAATACAAATGGCAAATAAGGTGCAACATACAAAAGGATTCATATTAGGACAAAAATAATCTCTTCAGAAATACAGTGAAGAGGCCTCAATTGCCAACTTAGCAAAATGGTCTGGGGCTGTGATGAGAACTCAGTAAAAACAGCTTCATTTTGCAACTGGAGAGAAAAGAGGCAATTTTCATGTTAGAGGTGCTTAGGAAAAGAGACTGAGAGTAGAATGTCTAGTGTCATTATGTATATTTGTGGTGTGTGTGTGTGCGTGCACACACATTTATTTATTTATTTAAAATATTTTAACCCTGCCTTTCTCCTTTAAAAGGACCAAAGGAGGCTTACATAATTCAAATATAATAATTAAAACTAAGAACAACATGTATACCAAGGTGGCTTACATCATTAAAAATTATATTTAATGCTAAAAATAATGAGTATATAAATATTTAAAAGGAACAAATACCATTCTGTGAAATGATAAACAAAAGCCATTCTAAAAACACATTCAAAGCAGTAAGGCGGTAAGGCCATTTAAAAATCCCACTCAGGCAGCCAGTCACCAAAGGAAAGCTTGCCTGAAGAGAATGGTCTTTGCCTGCTTGTAGAAGGACAGCAAAGATGGGGCCAGCCTGGCTTCCTGTGGGAAGGAGTTCCAAAGTCTTAGAACAGCAACAGAGAAGGCCTTCTCCTGTGTCCCCACCAAACATACCTGTGAAGGTGGTAGGACTGAGATAAATGCCTCTCCTGATGATCTTAACACATGAACAAGCACATAATGGGAGACAGTCTTTGAAATAGCTTGGACCCAAGCAATTTAGGGCTTTATAGACTAGAATCAGCACTTGGAATTGTGCTTGGAAACCGAATGGCAACCAGTGGAGCTACTGTAACAGGAGGTCTTGTGTGCTCCTTCTAACCAACCCAGTTAACAATCTGGCTGCATTGATTTGGACCTGCTGAGGTTTCCAATGTCCAAAGGTAGCCCCACATAAACTGCATTACAGTAATCTAGCCAGGATGTAACTAAGGCATGTGTCACCATGGCTAGATCAGATCTGTCCAGGAACGAGTGCCACTGGCACAATAGTTTTAATTGTGCAAATGCACTTCTGGACACTGTCAAAACCTGAGCATCCAGGCTCAGAGGCAAATCCAGCAGCACCTCCAATCTCCGCAACTGTGTTTTTAGAGGGAGCAAGCACAGATTTTTTTAAAAAAGGAAATAAATTTCAGCCAACCCCTATACAAGCTAATAAGGAGTAATGGGCAAAGTATACTTGATGGACATCTAATGTGGAATATCTGCCGGTGAAGGTAGAGAACGGGTTGAGGAAGGATACAAGGGGCTGGCTGGATCTTGGCCACTGCATATTCTGTTACAAACTTCACTAGCTCCGTCTACTTCCAAAGTCCACTTTCTGCAGCCAAAACAGAATCCACCCATGTAGGCTTGGGACAACAGGGTTTGCAGAAGGAAACTTTCGGGAAAAGAACATTGAGCATGCATGATGGAGGTGGACACAACTGACTGCCTAGAATAGTGGACCATGGCACACTCCACTGGAGCATTTAGCTGCAAATCCCTCTTATCATGTCATAATCCTACTTCTAGATGCAATGCCGTCCTTTTTAATCACAGCGTTAATTCCCACTCTGGGCCCTGCGAGGCCTATTGGTACAGAAGTCGCGCATTCACCATCTGCAAGATGGTGGGGTTGCATTACTGTATGTCCTGAGGCGCTTTTTCCTCTCTGCAGAACTCCACACGGTGTTATGTGTGTCTTTTGGTTCCCGTCCCTGACATATCCGAAGGAGGTAGCATGAGGAGCAGGAGATCTTGCCCCAAAGAGGGAACGGGCAGAGAGGGCCCGCTCTCCTTGCTCCTGCTGAAAGAAGAACATTCTGGTAAGAAAAGCATTTTTGGCTCTTTTTTTTTAATATGGGTGGAGTACCCGATCATTCTCCTCCCCTATGATGGCAGCTGCCTCGCGTGGCTTAGAAGGGAGAAGGGGGAGCCCTCACTCGGGCCAGACCTCCTTCCCTCCAAAGAGGAGGAGGAGGAGGATCCGGGGCCAACCCCGCCTCCTTGAAGGTCTTGTCGCCGTATAGCACCTTCCTTTAGTGTCAGCGGTGCCGGCGGCTTAGAAGGTTTCTCTTAAAAGGGAGGGGAGGCGAGGCGGCTGGTGGCTGGGCTCGGTGTGATCCAGCCTGTTCCCGGGCTGTTGAGCTGCAAAGGGAGTCCTCCCCTCCCTCCTTCTCTCCCTGGTTCCCTTCCTTTCCTCCGCCTCCACTCCCCCCGGTAGCAGATTCCACCACCGCCACCCCCGATCTCCGCCTTTGCTTGCAGCCTTTCCACTCCACCATTCCCCACCACCCAGCTCCGGATCCGGACACATGGAACTGCTGTGTGTGGAGGGGGTGATCCGGGCCAGGCGGGATCCGCAGTTGTTAAGGGACCGGCGGGTGTTGCAGAATCTGCTTAGCCAGGAAGAGCGCTACAGCCCCCGAGTCTCCTATTTCCAGTGCGTGCAGAAGGAGATCCAGCCTTATATGCGGAAGATGTTGGCTTTCTGGATGTTGGAGGTCTGTGGACCGGGATTCCGGCTAACCCCCCCCCTCAA